TATAGTGATCACTATGGTCTAATGTTTAGAATGTCAAAATATGTTCTCTTTTATTTTAATTTTGAAAGTTTTACTCAGACGATCGATGAAATAAAACAGTGTAGTGACGTGCCTAATAACCTGCTAAATAACGAGATAATTCCGACGGCAAATTCTATTTTGTCCAGCGACAGTGTACAAACGTGCGCCGCTGACGATCACGGTGACCAGCTACACCAGAATGAACATATTTCGCATCTAACTCAACCCCATGCAACAAAAATTGATACTATGTGTTCATTATGGTCCATTCCTCCTCGACGAACAAGTACATAAGTGAAAATTTAGTCAAAGACGAGAAAACTGCAGAAGAAATTTGCCTTATTTACACGTATCGGCAATGGAAGCTGCCATGCGACTTCCCCTTCTGACGTCACAAGGGGAATTTCTGTATGCAAATAAGAAGCTAATGAGGAGCCTCGTTTTAAAATACACAAAAATAAAGTTGCCGTAGATTGAGTTTAAAACACATTTTTTCACTTAAAAAAAATAATTCATGCTTAGAAACATAAAAAAATAATAATATTTATGTATCAATGGATAATTTTAGGCGTGAAAATAGCAGCCATTTCACAGGCACTTTAAACTCAATGAATATGCTAATAAAGGAACCAACTAACAATTATCAATATATTCTGCCCAGATTTATTTCATTTCTCATCAAGCTCGGATGGTCAGCTTGTCACTTTAAACAGAAAATCTGGTGATATATTATGGGATGGTAACTATGGTTCCCCAGTAGTTGCTATGTACTCGTTAGAACATGAGGGACTGAGGAAAGTAGCAGTGTCTAATGTAGCTTCAGAGACTTTAAACCATCTAACAGCTGATCATGCAGCTGGGTCAGTATGGAAAGACAGATTCCTTGGAACCACAGAGGATACGCATCTTTAGTAAGTATTATTTGTCATGGCCAGACACTATATGAATTAACTTGGGGTTGAAGCCAACTGATAAATGCAAATACCCAGAATATATTCATTTTGCAATAAATTGTATATTGATTTTATAAAAGTGCGGGATCATGAACCTGTTTTCCGAAAAAAATTATACCCTGGTAGTCATATTTCATTGAATCATAGCAATTTTGTCAGAAATGCTGGTACCATGGCGGGCATATTATTCCAAGTCCCAAATTGTTGGCATAAAATAAAAAAATTCTATATTGCGACTGATGGTGTACTTTTTTTAAAATGCTTAAATGCCTTTACTTTAACAATACATTCTATGAAACTGTTCTAAAAATATCATTTTTGAATAATATTTGGCAAATATTTTCAAAATACGCTACTGTGACACACATAAAATAATGCCGTTTCATGTTCAATGGAATTATATCTCTATGATTGAACAGAATAAACCACATAAACAATGTCACTCAATTCAGGAACATCTTACTAAAAAATTATGAGTTTCGTATTTGCTATATTTAATAATTACTAGTGCTTGTATGTAAATTTCAGAGGTGTTTTATTGGTAATTTGTTAATGATTCAGTGTAAATTATTGATTTACATATGTTTCTAGTAGAGCAAATAATGTAAGCTTTTACACAAAATTTAGATAATTTTGCCAAAATTTTGACTTTTGTCCAAAATTACACTCATTTTGATCAAAAACTAAAAGCAATATCTGAAACTATCTGTATAGTCCAAAATGATGATGAAATTTTAGTAGCAATTTTACAAAATGTGAAAATTTTTGCACTAATTTTGAGTGGGAAAAATATCTGGCATCAAGTATCCACATTGATGATCGTCACAGTGTTGCCTTGATGTGTTTAAACTCAATGATTATTCCAGTCGTAATTATAAGTATAAGGTGTGGTATTACAAGATACTGCGTTGATATTATAAATACCACACAGTAACTGATTGCTATTTTGTTACAGCCCTACTCTCTATATTGGTCAATATGAACATGGTTTATATGCCCTTCCTTCTATGGTGGAACAGAACACTGTACCTGTTATAGTAAGTAATATCTTTCCAGAAAAACAATTGGAATTATGAAATATTGTAATCGAATTAACAGTAGGCATGTAAATGTTGTTGGTTTTAGTTCTTATTTTGCTCTTGTAGTGTACCGCTAGTACCACTATTTCAAAAAGTTGGTCAGTTGGTGCAATATGGAATGTGTTATCAGGTGATAACTTAGCAGTGCTTGAGATCAGTGTGCAAAATTGTGTGTGAATCAATAATACATGTATCCAATGTTAAAACAGATCATCAAAACGAACGTATCATGATTCTTCCATTTAAGAAAAATCAGGTTATTTTCATTTTAAAGAAATCAGGTTATTTTCATTTTAAAGAAAATCAGCTTGTTTTTATCTGGAATATTGTTTGGCTTGTTATGTTTGTGTATGTTTTATGTGCAACTGAAATACAAGAATCGTTAACATGTTAAACTTTCAGTTTTTAATGAAATATAGGATTTTGCACTGCAAGGACATTAGGGAAGAGTAGGAAATCAAACGGGCGGTGCACCGCGGTTATTACGCGGTGGTGGTGGGTGCTCGCCGGACGACCGCATTTTATGCAAATTAATGCATAGATTCCATGACCCCGGTTTACCGCGGTCGTGTGCGGTGGGCTCGCACAGCAATTCACACTTATTGTCAAGAAAGAACTGGGAAATTAAAAGGATCACAAAGTTCTAATGAAAAATTAAACCAATTTGGCTGAGCCAAAAGCTAGGAAACTAGTCTATAATAGTTCACATTATTTTATTTGCCTGAGCTTTGGAATAAAATCACAAAACGATCCAGAAAGACGTAGAGATGCACTAAGAAGAAAAAGCAAGCCAAATTCGAAACAGGGTGTATCATGGACTTGGTACAACATGCGTTGCGACAATTGAGTGATCGTCGACATCATTTTGGGGCACAATTGAACTTCAAGTAAGTTGCGAAACTTGCTACGCGGCGATGCTGACATCAAGTGTGTGTTGACCGAAGTTTGACCCCCAAGTCACGCACTGAACTGGCGCGTTACCTTAGCAACCCTTTTCTTTTTTGGTCCGCGCTTCGATCTCGTAAATTTGTTATCATATCCGGCGGTACTGTAATAACACAACTTGTATCCAACGGCGTAGTCTTTTCCACGAAACGAAATGAAACAAAATAAAACGAAACGAAACGAAACGAAACCTTAACCCTAACCCTAACCTTAGATTTTGAACGACCTCAAACATCGTCACGTCCGTATTGCACAGTGTGAAATTTTCTCAGATATTATTGGGCCAATGAAAAAAAAAATGCGAGTTAGGGTTAGGGTTAGGGTTTGGGTTTGGGTTTGGGTGTGGGTTTCGTTTCGTTTCGTTTCGTGGAAAAGACTCTGTATATTGGCTTTGAATATTTCAACATCGTTTACTTAGTGTGCTGCTTTTCTAATAACGCAAATATGTTTACAGTATTGGACGGGCTCTAAATATTTCAATTTTGCAATGTATTACTTTTATAATAATTACGCAAACTAAGTTATTTTTATTATTGTTGGGACACTAACCCGGGCTATTGGGTCTGTGAATATTTCAATATTACCGACTTGATAATGCGTTGCATTCGTAATTATTACGCAAATATAAACATGGGCGCATTTACTAGTAAATCATTGAAAAAGATAGTCAGGTCCCAGAGTCAGGTGTCTAACGAAAGTCGAGAAAATATTTTAAATACTTGTGACTCG